ACGCCGCTTACCCGAATTTCGTAAAAAAAATCCCTCCAGAAACATATATTTTTCCTCTTTACGCACCCGTCCATCCCGCCTAACTAATCACTTCCATCCATAAACCCTGCCCCCCTCTATTAGTCCCACCGTGGCAACCATCTCCGTTTCACGTGTTCCGTATGCGGCAAAGGCAACCCGTACACCCACACGCCCCAGTACACGTACGCCCCGACGATACCCGCCGCGATGATTGCAAACGCCATGCCGCGCATGCGCCGCGGAATCAGGTCAAACCCTAGCGCCCCGAGCGCCTGCGCGAAGAAAAGCCCGGGCAGATATTGGTACACGGGGCCGGACCGGTACACTACCATCGTGGGGAGCATGCTGCCCACCCATGCGAAAAACAGCGCCCCCCCGCGCCGCAAGTGCTCCTTCAGCGCTTCTGTCGTCCGCAGCTCCTTGCGGTACCGCACAGTGTAGAACAGCGCCCCGATGAACACCAGCATCAGCACGTCGATGCACAGCGTCATCACCGGGTTCATCAACATGTAGATCAGGCTCACTTTTTCTTCCGCCCCTTCCCCGACTACCTCGCGGTGGTACAACGCCCCGCGCCAGTTCACGATCCACTGGAACCAAGACGAGCCCCACTTGTCCTTTCCGCGGATCCCCTTGGAGTACTGGAAGATCACACGGTTCACTTCTATGATGCGCGCCCACATCGACATCCCGCATCCCTCTCCCCCTTCCCAATGTTTGCTCCCCACCAAGCACTTTTGAAACTCGGCCGACATAAACCCGTCCCCCGGCCCAGACTCATTCACATTCAACAAGAACAATGCAAACGACCCCATGTATGACGCCACCGCCGTCCCGTACAGCACGGCGAGCTCCAGCACGTTGAGCGGCTCCTTACAAAACGGGTTCACCCCGTAAAGACTCACCGTAAATATCAGCGCGGGTGTCGCAAACGCCGTCCAGCGAACCGACACGCAAAGCCCGCAGCAAATCCCCGTCAACACAAGATACAACAACACATACGCCGTGTCCAACATGGATACGCTCCTCCCCTTGATCACCACCACGTTCTTCGCGTCCCACAGCAGCAGCGCGCTATAAAACGCAACGCAGGTGAAAAACACGAGCACGGAGTCCACCATGGCGATCCTCGATTGGATGACATGCATCATGTCAAACAAGATGAAGAGCGCGCCAAGCACGCTTGCATACATGCTGAGCCTCAGCAGGCGACAGACGCGGTAGAAAATGGGGACGGTAAAGGCGCCGAACAGGGCGGCCGGGGCGCGCGCCGCAAACGCCTGGGCGGCCGGCACGTGCTCCCCGAGCGCGGTGAAGCGCGGGAGGGGGGCGAGGCCCATGAGCTTGCCGACGTAGGCGATGGCCATCTTTCCGAACACAGGGTTGACATCGAAGAAGTACTTGTTGGAGAGCAAAAAGGTGCCGAAGTTGAGGTAGTGGACCTCGTCAAAAATGACGACGTCGAGCTTGGCCAGACGGTAGAAGCGCACGGCCAGGGCGCCAAGGAGCAGAAAGGCGCAGATGAGCCAATCCACCCACGTCACGTGCACCGTTAGGAAGGAGGAGTAGGGGTGCGAGGGCTTGAGCTTCGCGGAGGGATCGTCGTGCGTGGGCGTGGCGGGTTCGGATTTTGGGGGCGGCGGGGAATTGCGACGGCGGCGCAGCCCGTCGCCGGCGGGCTTGGTGGATATCGTCATCGGGCGGAGACGGGCGGAGACGGGCGGAGACGGGCGGAGACGGGCGGAGACGGGCGGAGACGGATCGGAGAGGGGGTTGAGGGGGCGGGGTCAGAGGAGGGGGATCAAAGAGGGGCGCAGGGAGAGAGCGACGGGGTTGATTGAATGGTGAAGGGGAATTAAAAGGGATGGTGAATGGGGGATTGTATTGCTGCGTTTTCGGGGCGTGCGGGCACTAGACGGATCTACTGTCGGATCATGAGTTGGACCGCAAAGGTAAGTTGGAAAAAATATTCCTCAAACCATTTCTTTCCTCCATTTCTTTCCTCCGCTCAAATCCTGACCGGGTGACGGCATCGACCACACGTGTCTATATACGTACAGTGCTTCATACAGCATGACAGTTCTTCCGTATTCATTTTTTTGCAAATACCCAATCATCTGACACGTGGACAGCGAGTGGAGAAAGAATCTTTTTCGAATCCGATTCGCGCATGTTTCCAACGTGGACACGTTGCCACCTTGCACACGTTTTGGACGTTGACGTCATCGATTGGGCCGCCCGTTACTTATCCGTTTCATGTTCTCGCCGATTGGTGCCCATCGGTAGAATCAGCTGACCCACTTCTTACTTTCGCTGACGCGTCATGACAAAGAACGTCACCACCTCGCTGCTCTTCATTCTTCACGCCTCCGTTTTCCCTGCCCTCTGCCCTCTGCATCCGTTCGCAGACGACGACAATCACCATCCCCCCTTCCCCCCCCCCATTAAAAAACCTTGGGCGGACTAGATCAATCTTAGTTCTAT